AGGTGGGATTGAGGAGGCCATGTGCATCACGGTCGACGTACTTTGAAGGGGATTAGATCGGTTGTCGTTATTTAAGGGTTCACCCGTAATAAAGTCATCGTTGTCTTGGACAATATTAGGGTCGGCATTTTAGGAGATGATAATGGTGGCGTGTTTCGAATGATCTAGGGGAGTGGCAGAGCGAGATAGAACGGTTGCTTGGGGGTTAATGCGGTGTATGGGGGAATTACTGGGTGGTGCCTTGTTAACATGGTGAGTGACGTTGGGAGTAGTTGGGGTTACGTATCACTATGGCAGTCTTTCCAGGTTGGTCTTAGCATTTGGAAGGGTAGACGTTTTGCCCTTGGAAGCTTTTTTGACGTGAGAGGAGCTAATATCAGCATTATGTGATTTATGAACCTGCGATGGAGAAACAGATTGTACATATATATCAAAATCATCATCAGTTGCATCATAAATGAGGTTAAAACGTGAGTCGTTAATTACACTGCCCTGTTTATGAGTTGGGTGATCCTGTTGTAGCTTGGTGGATCTTTGAGGCTTTCGCTCCACCATCATCCATGGTCTGAAGTTTTCCTTGGCTGTTGAGGGAGGCACATTCGGATTTTTATTCACTCCTTGATCGGGATTATCAATGGTGGTCGTTTGGGGGAGAGAACAGGTGGTAGTGTTATGGCCATATTTACCACAGTTGAAACAAATGGTTGGGGAGATTCGTACTCGGCTATTTGAACACGCTTATTTATCAGGATCTTCGAGATGAGAGGTTTATTGAGATCGACTCAAACGGCTATCTGAGCGAAACGACCGCGTCGGTTAATTTCGATTTGGAAATCAATAAGAATGACGCGTCCGATGCACTCTCCGATTTCAGTAATGAGGCTACATTTATACAAAGTCATGGGTAATCCGGGTAATCAGATCCAAGCAATTATTTTGCTCGGGTATGGTTGGGTGATGGCAAAGTCCAGGGACCAAGGTTCAACTGTTAAATAATGTCTGAAAATTATCCAGGGGTCATCGGTGAGGGCTTTAACAAAATCGGATCGAGTGTGGAAAGAAACCATGAAGTAGTTGTGTTCTATGTTCATTAGTTTGATCGGTTGGGATGGTTTTCAGATTTTATAAATCTTGTTTCGGAGAGTTGTGTATCTGATTCGACGGCCAAGGAGTTTGACCACGAGTGTTTGATCGAGGCTTTTTTTCGCTAGGGCTTGGATTCGATTTGAAAAATTAATAAAGATCATACCATTGACGATGCATTTAGTAATGTCGCCTTCTTGAAGTTCTAGATCGTCTTCATCGATGATTTCATCATCATTGGGAATGGCAGAAGTAGTATCACCAACCGGTTTGTCATTATAAAAGGGGGAGAGTAATGGAAGTTTCCATCATATCCGGTGTGGTACCGCCAGCGTCAGGGGATCATCGTTGAGACGACGAGGTTTCACGGTGGATCGGTCGTCCGAGGGAGAGGATGTGGTGCTTGAGATAATAGGATTTTCCATAAAAATTAATTGAATTGTTCGTTTGATACTCGGATTAGAATGTCGAAAAATATTCTTCCCTAACTTGTGACTAATAAAATTTTGAATTTTTTTAATATTTAAATTTGGGTCTCATCCATTTAAATTATTTGTAATTATCTTTTATTTTGATTTAATTTTTTATATGTTTTAACTATTAATGTAAAATATATATATAAAGTGTCGTACATTAAAGTTCAATTATAAAAAACGTATATGATTTTTTGATATTTTTTACAATGAAAAGCAAGCTATACGTCCATTCTTGAGGGTGGATTAGATACTGTATTCGTCAACTAGTCCAAAAGGATTGAATTGTGATGGATTGAAAATTGGGTCCTTGTGAAACCGACCGTGACATTAATTCTACATTTTCGCACTAATTGTGATAGATACACAACAATTCTTTTTGTTAGCGTGAAAAGAATTATTTTACTTTCACATGAATCAATTGTTAAACTAATAATTATTAGTCTCAATCTCACCTTTTAATCAATTCCTCGTCCACTAAACTAGCTTATTTTAATTTCTTGATTTTGCTGGTAACAACTAATTAAAAGCTATTTAATTTCAACATAGTATTTCCTTGTTCTACTTTGTGTGTGGACCAAGTGAAAATCTTTGTCGAGAAAATCTATTGATGTATGGGTTTTATTTATTTATTTTATTGGTAATTTTGACAAATTAATTTTGTTTTTATTTAAGTTGAATTTTCCATACCATTTGCCTCGATGTTTGTTTCTTAGGAAGGTCAGTCATAGTGTCTCATAATTTAGTCACTAAAGGCCATTTATCTTCTTTGATTTACTAATGATTCCAAGAAAATACTTTGTTTTGTTTGTTTGATTTTATGTTATTTCTAAGCTGATTGGTAGGACTAAATATTTTACATTTTCACATGAAACAAAACAAATCTTAGTAAAAATCATCTTCGAATGTCAAACTTCTACGCTACTAATTTTATTTCAACTCATTATTACATGTTCGCATTGGTTTTGCCGAAGTTCCCACAGAATAAATAAATAAATATTTCAACTCATTGAATTTTAGATTGCACGAAACTAATATACATCAGTACTTAAATGAATCGTTGTTGTTTTTAAAGATAATAGGTTCGAGCACCAACTATTATAACATGATGATTGAACGTTAATTATCAAATAATTGAAAATATTTAAAACAAACATTACTTTAAAATCACTTTAATTTAATAAAAAGAATAAGGGTATCAACTATTGTAACATAATAATTGAACGTTAATTATCAAATGATTAAAAATATTTAAACCATACATCACTTTAAAATCACTTTAATTTAATAAAAAGAATAAGACCGTTAACGTTTGCTTCAATCCATTTAACTAATCGATCCGAACCGTTCGATTCAATTCCGAACACCATGAAAATGGAGGCCAACTTTTGATTGTTGGTACGGACTGTTGAAATCATTATAATTAACACTTATTGTAGTTTTGCAATCAAATATAGATTACTGCGAATCTCGTAATTGAATTTGAACACTAATAATTAGTGGTACGGGCTGTTTTGATGTCGGCTTCTTTCCCTTTAGGGAAAGTGTTTCTTGGGGTCGTTTTGTTTTGATCCTTCTAAAATTATAAAATTATATTTTGTCTTCTAAGATTATTAAATTACGATTCAATCCTGATATTATAAAATTAGAAGTCAATACAATGTTAAATTGTACTAGTTTAATTCTCATAAAAATTATAATTCAAGTTCGACAACAAAAAGGGTAAACTACATCATTCATCACAAAACTTTACTCTTTCCTATTTCACTCACTGTATTTTTAATATTTTTTCAATTTACTCACTAAACTTTCGAATTACACCCGTTTTTTCACTCTTAATTATTTTACTATTATTTTGATATGATGTAACATTTTTATTATTATTTAATATAAAAATAATTTAAAATATAAAATTAACCTTAGGTGGTGATCGACGATGACTAGAAGGGACGGTGATTATTTTAAATCATTTTAAATTTAATAATAATAAAATATTATTTTATTATTTATTTTAAATTTAATAATATATAAAATTACCATGTCATATAATAATAATAATAATAAAATAATTTGTAGTGATTAAAACAGGAGCAATTCGAAAGTTCAATGAATAAATTTAAAAAAATTTAAAAATACAATGAATGAAATAGGAGAGAAATTAAAATTCAGTGATGAACGGTGTATTTTACTTCAAAAAAATGACTTCGCCCCGGCTACTATATGGGTCATTGTTGTAAAATTTGACCGATAATTGAATCAATCAGTTAACTAACTTTTGATTTAATATTAAATAGATTAATTTAATTAAAGCCTCGATTAAATGATAATAAATTAAATTTTGAAAAAATAATAAAAATTAAACTGATTAACTTAATAATTTTGATTTTAATACATTCATTTAAGCAATTAAATCATCAATTTTTAGTTAAATCAATTTAACCGACATCAAAAACCATGAAAATGGATACTAACTTTTGATTATCGGTACCGACTGTTAGAAAGCATTATTATTAACATTTGAGTTTTGTAATCAAATAATAAATAATTGTGATTCTGGTAATGGAGACATGATTATTTGCATGAACTGTTAAAGCATTTTCATTTGTAAAAAGATATAACCAAAACCTTTAATCAATTATGAATAACATTGAGTTTTCAAATTCCATGAACATAATTAACACTGATAATTTGTATATAAACATGTATAAAAATATTTAAAGTGTCTAGATAAAAATATAATAATTTTAATTATATATTTTAATAAAAAAATATTTAAAATACCTAAATAAAAAATATGATACCTTAATTACTTATTATTACTTTTTAAACATCCAAAATAACTATTAAGATTCGAATTAATTAACTTATCTATTGGACATCCAAATGTAGTAAAAATACGTATATAACGAGTCTAAAAACAAATTAAAAAGTAAAAAATAAAGTTGACATGAATTTAAATATTAGAATTTAAATCTATTATTATATATATAAACTAAAAAAATAGGCTTAAACTAAAAAAAAAATCTTAAACTATACTTTTCTGTTTTAAGTCCTTGAAATATGTCTTTTTTTCTTCAAATTCCTAAATATTTCTTTTATCAAAATAAGTACCTAATTTTATATGATGTGCCAACGTTTTATTGGTCGAAAAAACATTTTTCTAAATAAAAAAATAAACTTAAAATGATTAAATATAATAACCTAAGTATTTAATTTGACTGAAATATAATTTAATAGCTTAAAACAAAAAACAAAATAATTTAAGTACTTATTTTCACTTTTAAGATTAAAAGATGTGTAAATTTATCGTTTATAAGCATAAAACAGATCAAATATCTAAAAATGAATATCCGAAATCGCACAATCAACTAAGGTCTAATTAATGCATGTTTTTAGAAAGGAAAAGTCATGGTTTCGATTTCGATTTCTTTTATTAGAAAAATAAAAGGAAATTGCATTCGGATTTCTTTTCCTCGAAAGCATAAATTGCCAAAGATACAAAACAATGCTAAATGTCTCCACTCTATATAGTCAGTAACGCCACTCCCATTTTTTCTTATTTAAATACCATCACTTTCCTCCTACAACCTCTCCATTCTCATCTCTCTCTGCTTTTCTTTCCATATTTTCCTCTGTTTTCTCTCCAAACAGACACCATGGTCGTCCACTCACAACCCACTGCATTAGACCATTGTTCTCTGATCAAAACATGCAAGCCGACCACCAGTGTTTTCAATGGAATCCCAGTGGTAAACCTGCGAGACCCCGAAGCAAAGACACTCATAGTCAAAGCTTGCGAGGAATACGGTTTCTTCAAGCTGGTCAATCATGGCGTCCCAATGGAATTCATCACCAGATTGGAAACCGAAGCTCTAAAGTTCTTTAATTTCCCCCAGTCCTACAAAGACAAAGCCGGCCCTCCCGACCCTTTCGGCTATGGCTGCAAAATGATCGGCTCCAATGGCGATATGGGATGGATTGAGTATCTCCTCCTCAACACCAACCCTCAAATCACTTCCCAAAAAACCCACACCGTTTTCAGAGAAAACCGCGAAATTTTCCGGTAATCTAACGCTAAATTCACCAGTTTTGAAGTTTGTTCAACCTGCAGATACACTGAAATCTTGACCTTTCCTTTCTTTTTGATGAAGCAGCTCAGCCGTGGATGACTATATCCAGGCGGTGAAGAGAATGACATTCGAAGTGGTGGAACTAATGGCGGATGGTTTAAAGATAGAGCCGAGGGATGCGTTGAGTAGGCCGTTGAGAGATGAGAAGAGTGACTCGTGTTTCAGGCTGAACCACTATCCGCCATGCCCGGAGCTTCAAGCATTGAGTGGTAGGAATTTGATAGGGTTCGGGGAGCATACAGATCCGCAGATTATATCTGTACTGAGATCCAACAACACCTCAGGTCTACAAATATTTCTCAAAGATAAGACTTGGGTTTCAGTCCCACCTGATCACGCCTCCTTTTTCATCAATGTTGGCGATGCCTTGCAGGTATATATATATCTTTATAAAAGTGTATTGACTGCATGATGATTTCATAATCTCGTTATGTTTGTAAGGTAAGTTCACATGTTGCTTGCATGCATATTATCTGGATGTGATACACGTATGACCATATCATGAAATTGTAATACAATCAACATGCTCTCTTGAAATCACCTTAGAGTCTTGACAATATCATAGGGTTATTGTCTGGGTGTAGACTAATTTCGTGTATTATTAACGTGGATATAGTAATATTTTTAAAGAAAGACACTATATATTAATAACAGAAAATTTTAAAATAGATATCATTAGTGATATAGACAACGAACATGTCCTCCTTAAACAATATAATGTCAAACATTATATGGGTGTGGACTGATTTTTGAGTGTTGCAGGTGATGACAAATGGGAGGCTTAGAAGTGTGAGGCATAGGGTATTGGCAGACTCCGTGAGCTCAAGGCTTTCAATGATCTACTTCGGAGGACCACCTTTGAATGAAAAGATAGTGCCTTTAGCCTCATTAATGGCAAAAGGAGAAGAGAGCTTATACAAGGAGTTCACATGGTGGGAATACAAGACATCTGCCTACAAATCAAGGCTGGGTGATTATAGGCTTGGCCTGTTTGAGAAAACAGCTTCTGGCCTATGATTTCTAGCTTTCTGGTGGTCAAAATATTATCAAAATTCACCCCTTTTTCCCCGCTAAAAAGTGTAGGGCTTATGCCATAGGTGGAAATGACATAGGTTGTTCCTTTCCCTTTTCATGACTTTCCCATTGTACTTGGATTTTCAATGTAAACAATAATCCCTTTTCCCATTATGATGTTACTCCAAAAATAGATCTATCTATTTTGCTATGGGTGTGATCTATCTATTTTGCTATGGGCGCGGACTTAATCTAGCCTTTTAATTTACTCAAAAAAAAAAAACAATGTATACATTATGATTTTTAGTACCTAAAATATTAGTTTTAGTATCTAAACTCACACTTGAAGTTTAATTTTTGTTTCTTTTTAGTACTCATTCAAAATTTAACGTTAAATTTTAAGAAAAAATTAAAAATTTAAATATTAAAATAGACCAAAACTGATAGTTCAAATACTACATGTGCAGTTCACCTAAGAAAAATACTAGTATAAATTATCGTTTCACGTAAACATCCTTTGTATTAACGCTACTGAATCTAATTCCGAAATATAAATTAGCATTACAAATTCAGAAATTCTACTGACCAAATAATTATATTTTTATAAATTAAACGCTCCTTAAATTTAATTTTATTTGAAAGATTTTAATGGTAAAAGAAATTGTTATTCTCTTTAGAAATTCTAAGTTCAATCAGTTATATATGTAAGATGTGTTGTTAATAATAAAGAAATATTACAAACATATAAATATTATAAAAAAAATTAAATTGAAAGAATCATATATAAAGGAAGAGAAGTGCATTAATATTTAAAAATTAAAAAAAATATATAAAAGAATTTAAGTTAGGTATGAATTAAAGATTAAATAGATTAACTTCTAACTCTAGTCTATAGTATTTAATTATAGAGTTGATTTTTTTATTATAAAAAACTATTGTAGTATAAAATATATTCGAATTAGACTTTATATTTTAATCAATTTTTAATAGAAAGAATACAATCTTGTACAATTTCAACATTATATACAAGTTTAATGGTCTAATAACTTTTTTTTATCACGGATCCCATTTTTCTTCTTTATTTTTATTTCTTTATTAAATAAATTGTACTATTGAGTAATTTAAAAACAAAACAAAACTCTGATAATTACAAACTACACATCATTGTTGTGGGATCAAATATGGGTTCAACCGCTAAAAACGTACCAATAAAAGAACGGAACGCAAGTGAGTTCCACTAAAGGCTGTGGCCTGTGGGGGGCTGCAAATCAGACCGTAAAAACAATAATTTCGAAGGATCGGGGGACCGAACGAGATTCAAAGCAGATACCCAAAATGAAAAGATAGAAGAATTATATTTATAGGTGCTGTGGTCCTTTAGAACAGCCTTTTTTCCGTTTGGTAAGGACAGAATAAGCTGGCCCCTGATACTTGAGTAGGATGTTTACAAGTGTCGCAGTTGCATCGTGTGTCCAATGCCTATGGCCATGGCTGTAGACTTCAGATAGGATCTTCGAATATTTCAATGGCCATCCAGTTGGCACCGTTTTGTGTTCTTAGAGAAAAGTTGACGTTTCAAGTTCAAAAAAGAAAAGGAATAAATATGTTACGATGATAATCATTTATTAATATAAAATTATCAAATGATTGTATGCATAGATTATAGGAAGAAGCTTTTGATCATGCATGTGTGTTTTTATTAGAGGCAATGGCTTTGATGTTATCCACTTGAACTATCTATTGGTTACAAGATATAAGAACCCCAACAAAACATTTGAGGATCATCAGAGAACATATAAGTGGAGGGAGCAGGTTTAAGAAGTTGAAGAATATGGTATGGGAATAATTTCTTACCTATGGCCATGGGGCAATTTATGCTACTGATCATCTCCTTGGTGTAACTAAATTGAATTCTTCAGGCGTTTTCTATCTTGCTCAATATCCGGCAAAATCCCCCAAGTTGAGCATCGACCTGTTGTTTTCCTGGAGGAGAAACTGAAAGTAACACTAATATTTTGACCATCTTTTGTGATTCAATAGAGGAATCTGCTCATCGATGGAAAACATTTTTGCCGGGGTATTCAAAACCCTTGTTACGGAAGTAGGCCAGAAGGTGCAGAAGAATAATCATCTTTTGGTTTTTGGTGACTCATCCTGTTCAACAGGGATTACATCTTGGAGGATCAACAGCCAACTCTAAACCAAATGCAGCCATTCCAAGAACAATTGGTACATCTCTAAACCAACAGTATCAGAGGAATCCTTAGGTGATGCGGAATTGAGTTTACAAATAGAATCAGCAGAATTGATCATGTGTTTGTATATCATGTAATGTATTTTAATATAAAAAAATAGGCAAAAGGGTACGTGAGATTTTCATACTTTTCAAAAAATTCCAATGTGGCCCTCTTCATTTTTTCCAATCAAATGTAACCCTTAAACTTAGAAAAACTAACCCAATTGGCCCAATTTGATTTTTTTAAATAACATATTTCTAATTTAATATACAAAAATTCAAAAAAATTAAATATAAAAATATAAATTAAAGTACTAAAAATTTAAAATATATCATTATTTTTTTACATCAAATTTAACCTTAATTTTATTTATATAAACTTAAACTCGTCGATATTATACAAATTTTATTTTATATATTTACCTTTAATTATTTTAAACTCTAAATGTCAAAGGTGTTCATTTTTTTATATTAGATATAATCCTATCTAAAATTTCAGATATCCGAAAATTTGGATCATTCAAAATTGTGATCCGTATCCGATCTGAAAAACTGGATATCAAAATTTCTGGATATATGTAATTTCGGATCGGATATCCGAATATCCAGATCCAAATATAAATTTTAATTTGATAAAAAAAATACAATAAGGGTGCGTTTGGTTCACGGAATGTAAGATTACCAGTGAGAATAAAAGATTACCATAGAATAGGATTACTGGGAATGTTGTATCTTGTGTTTGGTTGGTTTAGCAGGAATGTAAGATTATCGTATTTGGTTAAATGAATAAAAGATTATTGGAATGTATATTTGACCAATTTGTTCTTATTATATATTGTTTTTTTTAACAAGTTGAATTCTACTATAATTAATTTATATATTTTCTTTAAAATAATTTAAATTCATAAAATTTATATAATTTATTTTACGAAATTGAAAAGATAAATAGGTTTAATGAAATGGTAAAATTTTATTTTAACCCCCGAACTTCATATAAAATTTTAATTATAGATTTTTTTTTGTAAATCTAAAATAGTTTAAGGATAAATTTGTAATTTAACCTTCGTAAAGAATTATTATTCCACGATAGAAAAATGATATTTTTGGAAAAAATATTAAGGACATTTTAATCCAAAATACCGATAATCTAATAATACCTAAGGGAAATGGGTAATCACATTCCCGATAATATACCCCAAAAAATCTACTGTTGATAATAAAAGATTATCGAGAATAAAATTACCGACCAACCAAACCAAACGGAGGAATAAGGATTTTATTCTTCCGATAATACAATATTTCTTGAACCAAACGGGCCGATGTTTTGTAATTTACCCATAATCTATTACCAGTCAATATAACATCTGCAAACAACCTCGATTAAAACACTTTATTCTTATGCATTCTGCTGTGCACAACAATGGTAGTTTTTTTTAGATTATTTGAAAATTTTAATTAAACTAATCACACATGAATAAACATAAACTCAGAGAATTACTAGAAAAAAAAAGAAGAAAACAACGGAAGTACCTCAATCGAGGAGTATTGTGCCCCAGACTTCATATATAGTTAAGGAAAAGCGTTATTAGATTTGTTAATATTTTTTAATAAAATATTATTATTTTTATCTAAAATATTAACGTTTTTTAATATTTTCGATAATAAAACTGATAAAAAAATAACGTTTTACATAACGCTTTATCAGATACGTTAACGAAATCGAAAAAACGTTCAATAATAACAAAATCGATAGAAATAATAATATTTTAGGTAATTTTTTATCAAAAATATTAAAAATAAAATAATAACAAAACCGATATATTAAGCTCCATCCCCACCTCAATTATCTAAATATCCCAGCACTTTCAAGTAAATTTACAAGTTTAGCAGTTAGCACTATCCAAATTAGAAGAAAAATTCCCCACAAAAAAATTTCAAGTTAATGGAGAAACTAACAGCCTCTTCGTTAATGTATTTTACCTCTCCAATGGAAAGTTATGAGAGCTGGAGACTGAAAAATGATGGAAGTTTAACAGAGAAAGAAGGTGAAAGAAGCACCTGGGAAGTCGACTGAAGGTGGGTCAATCTAAGTAAGGTTGATTAAGCTTGCAACTGGTTTTTGAGAGATATTTGATAAGTATTAAGAGAAACTAACAGTCTCTGGTAAATAGAAAAAGGGGAAAGTGAAACGGGTTTTTGAGAGAAAGTAAGCTTTGGTCTTTATTCAGATTAGGGACTCTGGAGGCTGGGGCAGACAGAGATTGCGGGGTAAATTATTTTAGTGGTCTAATTTTTTTTAGGATTTTCAGATTGTTCAAAAATGAAATTTTATTGATTCCATATTCAATCTGATTATCTATTTTTTTCTCAGATATCCGATTTAAATTATCTTAAAATTAAAAAATAGATAAGATATTCAAATTTTTGGATCTGATTAACGAAAATGTCACGCCAGCACTTTAAAGGTCAACTACAGAAATTATTAACCAAATGATCATATTAAATATATCTTTTAAGTTTGAGAGTCACATTTAATGTAAAAAATATAATGAGAACCACGATAATTTTTTTTAAAGTACAATGATTTTACATACCTTTTGCTAAAAAAATGGAAAAGATAATAACACCCTTAAAATAATATTATTTGATATACTTTACAAATAAGAATAATTTTGTAAATTTCTAACAAAACTAACACTTGATTAATTGATATCACATGTCAAAAGTAGGGATGTCAGACGAGTACAATTTTATGAATTTTGCATTGCTCACGCATCA